CGTACAAGGAGCTCGGACTCGCCTCCCGAGTTCCTTTCGGATAAAGTTTTTAATGCCCACTAATTCGTCGTCAAGAATCGTCCTTGACACTTGGATAGTCTTCGAAGAATCACCATGTCGCACTACAATTATCAACCGAGAGCTTGAAGAGCGATTTTTTCCAAGCGTCACTTTCCCCTTGTCTTCCAAGAGTTGTGCGGTCTCTCAACGGCCAAATCGTTGGATAGGAAACTACCTTCCTCCGCCTCTCAGTACGGTCTCCAGACGTTGTTGTCCGGTCTAACTTCTTCTTGCCTCACGCTGCAACTGTCCGCGACGGCCCTCTGTTCGGCGCTCTCGGAATTCTGGAACTGATTCCCGTAAAGCTGGGAGTAGAGTATGCTGGGCAGCACACCGGGCGTCGGAAAGTAGTTGCCGTAATTCTGCCCGAAACCTTGCTCCTCGTGCACCGGGCTCTCGGTCGTGCTTGAGTCGGTGGACAGAGATCTGGGCGACACGTAATCCTGATACCTCTGGCTGGTGGAGCCGCCGGTCATGAGGCTGCTCAGCGGATCCAGCGGGTCAGACTGGCCCGGTGTCGTGGTGTCCGGTACGACTGCGACAATTCGTGCAACGAGACTCACTACGTTCAGTTCGAATAGAGACAAACAGTGCTGAGAGCCTCTACGGATCCTCCGAATCAGCTAGGTTTCCAACCATGAGGCACAACCGTTCCCACAGTGCTTCCGAATCTTTCTTTTTTTTTTTTCAGCGACCTCTCATCCAGGCAAGAGATCTGACAAGTTCCTGATTACAATTCATTCGAGTACGATCCCAATGAGTGCGTTATTTCGATCACATTAAAGTTATCAGCTCTTGAAAAATTTATCGAGACGTTACGATTGGCTGTGACGGTTAAGCGATACCCCATGGTTGTTCGTTTGTCGAGACCACAGCGAAATTCGATGATAATCGTGCAGCAGGCAACTCAACTTACGAGACGAGACCGCGGAGAAGGCGTCCTGCTGCGGCGTGGAGCCGGTATTGCTGCTGCCGGATGTGACGGTGGAGCCCGCCGTCGAGTCCGGTGCCGTCGGCGTATTCATGGAGGCCGTGCCGGCGAAGGACGCCAACGTCGATGACGGCGGTGGTGGCGGCGGGGGTGGCGTATATATTATAAACCTTTACAATTTTTTATTAGAGAAAAAAAATTAGTTCGCGGAGCGAGTGTCTCTCGAAATCAAATTCGCCAAGCTTGTAGCGTGAGAATAATACGGCCGCGTACGCGTATTATCGGACGACCAGATGCCCGATGAGGGGAAAAAAGTTAATAAAGGAAATATTCGGCGTGCTTCGTATTTTATCGGGAAATTTAGCTAGAACAGAGCGGAGCAGAGAGTCAGCCCTCACGTCTGAGGTAACTCATTAAAATGGCCGATCTCTCGAATTATTGTTTAAACTCTTTTTTTTTTTCCCCTCGTCTCTTCTTGCGCGCTTACCAGAACCACCCGTTTATCGATGTTATCGTACAGGAGAGTATTAAAAATTTTATCGCGCACCCAGATATATCGTTCGCGCTCGTCGATCAGCGACGCGATATTATTAATCAACGATCGAGGGCTTCTTCTTTTTCTTCTTTTTTTTCCTACAATTAACGATTAACAACCTCACGATGTTGTACTTTGACGATGCGCTTTGCGCGCAAATTCGCGAATCTACGTTATAAACGCGGAGAGAAGGTGAGGCTGCGCCCCCAAAACACCAGGCAGCCAACCGACTGGGACGCGCGCTTCCGTGGCAACCCCTTTAATATAATATTTAATCTAGCTTTGAACAGGCTTGCGGTTTCCGCCTCTGAAGCCGAGAAGCTAGCTGCCGAGCCTATCCAAAAGCCGTGCTTCTGTACTCAGACCAGTAACAGTCTGGTTGGAAATATTCCCGAACTCGACAGAAGCCGCCCGCTCGATGACAAAAATTATCTAAATTTCACAATATGACTGAAAAAAAAACGAAAGAATGCTGTAGAATAAAATAAAAATACCCCTTCTCGCGTGTATATAAGTCGCTATTTTACATATCTTATTTTTCTGCGCGCTTTAAATTCCGTAAAATGTTTTATACATAAAAAATCGCGCATATTAAGGGATCTCTTATATCAAAGAGAATCATCGATACAAGCCGATAACAACTGAAACAATAATACACGCATGCATAAAGCAAATTATATTGACGAAACACATTCAAAGCCGAGTTGCTGTGCGATTGAGAATTACGACGATCATGCTGCGGGGGAGGAACTCGGTCGATTTACTTACTCTGACAATTACCGGGCATCGCGTGTCTAAAGGAAGACAACGGATCCCTCGGCTGGAGCGGATTCGGTAACGGTTGCAACGGATTCGGCAGAGGTTGCAACGGGTCCACCAGAGGCGAGGCAAAGAACGGGCCGCCTCGTTGCGAGGCGAACGCGAAGGCGTGAAATTGTTGCTGCTGCCCTAAAAGAGACAGCACTGCGATCAACCGTGCGCCTGTCCGCTGGACCCCCGGTACACGTATCAATCGCCTGTCTCGTCTTACCCATCATTCTCCTCGAGATCGAAACATCTCAGAGCACAGGCCAAATATTCCATTTTACGCGCACGAATTTTTTTTCCGATGTACATAAATTACGATGGAAATTATTTATACTTTTTTTTCCTATTCGACGGACGCAAAAAATATCGTTCATTTACCGAGAAACGACAAACGGAACGCGATATACGACTAAATGCTATGTAGCTGTCCCTTCGAAAGCCCAACGAACGAGGGAGACACGAGAGAAAGAGAGAGAGAGGCATCGATACATTTTATTTCCCTGCCACGGTGTCGCCAACCCAATTAAAGACGTCCCAATAGGCGGACGTCCTATCCGGCTGTCCCTGGCTAGAGGTCGTCGCACAGGACAGCCGTGTGCAGGTTCGTTCCCTTTCCCCTAAAGGCAACGATCCAACGCGGAAGGCACCGGAGGCCGGAGAGACCGACACGGAGAGGGTCGCAGGAACGGAAGGGAGGTGGCGGACTCCCGCCGTTCTGATAATCCAATCGAAGCCCTAATTCTAACTCGGCAACCCGAAATTCCCGCCGGTTTGCTGAATAGGGTACGCTCGATCCGGGGACACAATGGGGGCGCGACGGCGGAATACCGACGGGTACCGAGACTAACGAGATCCTGTTAAACGACCGGCGATTCGAGCACGCCGCAGGACCCGGGGAGAAAATTCTATAGATCGGATACAGTCTCCTTAGATGGAAGCGCCTTTTATTCGGCTTTTAAATCATTAGCCGCGATGTGAATTTGCGTCAATGCAATTAGCAAAGTTGTCTTTGCGTAACATCTACGTAATCATTTTTAAATGATACAGAAAAATATATAAGAAAATATATATATATAAATATATATTTCTTCTTATATATACATATTTCTTTATGATATTATAATCATCTTGAAATATATTTTACGCGCTTGAAATAAATCGCAATTCCACGTATATGGGAAAAAAATATGCGTCCACAGAGAAACGCGTAAAAAATTGTGCATTCATGCATCCGACGATCAAACGCGGAAACGAACAAACGAATAAACCTTATCTAAGACAACGCCGAGCGAATGCTTCCGTGCGAAGGGTTGTAATTAATTAAACAAGCAATTCATTACACATTCTACCCTCGTCTGGTAGCCGAAGGTGGCCGCCGCCGCCGCGGAAAGGCTGCGGGGTCCAAGGAAATTGATTGAGGGAGATTCAGCCCGGGGGTGTTCCGGATGCTTCTCGCGACGACTCGCGCCCATTCGGGATCTACGGGAGATTCGCGGTGTGCGCGTCTTTGATAAGACGAAACGGGACGAAACGAAATGCGGTTCTCGGCGACGATGAGAAAGATCGAAAATGAGAGCGCCCGCGTTCACTACCCATCGAGAGAGGAGCCGATTTCGGGACGCGGCTTGCGCGAGGGAATGAAGGGGGAGGAGAGGGGGGGAGGGCGACGGGACGAAATGAGGATCTGTCGTTGCCAGCTGCTAACTCTCGAGAAATTCCCTGGCAGTCAGGGCGCGCGAAGAGGGTGTCCGATGAAATCGATAGCCGCGACTTGCTGAGAACTTACAACTTTGTCCAATCGCCGTCGATTGCCTTTTTCTAATCCGTGGAAGAATAAATCCAAAATAATAGTATTGTCAAAAGCCATTGTGTGTGTGCGGATTGTAATGAATCGGATTAAGCGTAATCAATAATAATCTAAAATGTTTTGAAATAATTTTTAAAAAATATACCCTCGTGTGTGTCGAAAACGATATAGAAATAACTGATTAGCGAAAAATTGACCACTGATTATTCGTTGGCTCGTTTAAACGGAGAGAGAGTAACGTGAGGGTCCCGGCCGTTTAGAAGAGCGAGCAACTATCCGGAGGGTCGCACGAGTGCTCGACGCCTAATGAAATACTGCGAAGAACGGCGCGCCGAATTCAAAGGGTTAGGCTGACGTGATAAATTCGTGGGTCGAGCGGCATAATTTATTAAATCTATCAAGCCGCCATCGTAGGAAACTACCGAAACAAATCCTTGTTTCAAGCTGCGCCGGCTCTTTTCATCGCGTTTTGGTCGCGTGGCATGTCATTCTGTCGGATAATTATAAAAAAAAAATATATA